AGTTTTTATGCACTCTTGTAAAACAATAAATAAATTTATACATAAGAACTAACAGTACTTTTGAACTAACAGTATTGAAATTCATGTTCAGTATGCATTTTTTTTTATTTATTTATTTTTTTATTAAGCATAATTAAGTATGGAATATTCAAATACGACCCTCTGTTGTTGAATGTTGAAGGGTAACTGTAATCAGCTATTCCGATTCTGCATCTCTCAGAGATTTTATTCTCATTCGAAAAATTGTATACCTTGTAATATACAACGGAAACGGTGAGGAAACTATACTGACCTTACTTGGCAGACGTTTTTTTCATCTCCTAGGGCGAAAACTCTCGGACATGGGTCAAATATTCTTCCACCTAGTATCTCCCAAAAATGTTTCATTGAAATCGGTGATCCCACGTCCGTATCCCCTCCCCCTTTCTCCCGTGTTAACTTAGCCATCTTTTTCCATTTAATTTACATATTTTATTCATTAATGTAGATTAGTTGTTATTGATTTTGATTATAATTTTGTCCTTCGAACTATTAGAAGAGACGAAACGTTATCTTGCCCTCTTCATATTTTTATTTAGGGTTAAGGGAGATGAGGGCATAATGCCGAGGTCTGTGGCAATTTGATCGATTTCTTTCTGGAGCCGGTAGAAATATATATTTTAGAAATATAATAAATACATATCTGGCATTCCCGCTAACCTTAGAAAATCGCAAATAGCCGGAATTGTGGCACTTCATAGTCCATTTCCTCAGAATTCAGTTTGGAAAATGTAGTAGGCGTACATTAAACCTCTTTTAAGATATCCAATAGTGAATTACTCACAATAAAGGAAAACAAAAATGCAGAATAGATTTATATTTAGTATTTCTTGCTTTGAAGCATGGGACACAGCTTGTTACACGTTCGTAGTTTCTTTGAAAGAGTTGAAAAGACGAAAACATTATTTCTTTATTCACATAATTTATTTTCTTACATTGCATTTGATGATTATGACGGAAAATAACATGAAATATAAGCTCTGCTTTTGACAATAATAACTTCCAATTAAACAAAAATTGATTTATCTCTTGAATTTACAAGTTTACGTTTCGGGAAATTTACTCCCATCTTCAGAATTACAATCCCATGTTTCCTTATCGATTCAAGGCTTAAGTCTAATCTGCTCCATTGCCATGAAATGCAGACATCCAATTATTGGTCTACAGGCATGATGATGCTCTGGATATAATATATTATAATTTGTTTATAACAAAAATTTAGAACATGACAATGGAGCAGATTTAAGCCACGAATCGATAAGGAAACATAGGATTGTAGTTCTGCAGATGGGAGTAAATTTCCCGAAACGTAAACATGTAAACTTTAATGTTAAAACTTGTTGTTTAATTACAAGTTATTATTACTAAAAACAGAGAATATCATACAACTTTCCAGCAAAAAGAAGAATTCAAATATAAGAAATGTGGGTGGCAATAATATCGAAAAGTTTTCTTTGAACATCTAACGTAACTTATCAAAACTAAATTGATATGAACCTTTGCAGACTTACAAATTTATTCCGTTATCGGATTTAAGAGGTACATTACAGGTGTAAATGTTTGTTATTTAGTTAGAAAAATATCTTAGGTAACTAATCTGTACCGTAAAAAAAATATTTTTAAATACTTTTGAAAAATTAGGTTTTTTTTTGCCTGGCAACGGCCTGAGCGCTAGCCATAATTTTTTATTCTTAATAATTCATCCACTTCTATGCTTATTCATGCCATCTGCAGACACAATAGAATTTTAAATATGTGGTTAGAATGTGACTATAAGCGAATAACCTTGGATAATGAAGGATTACAGTTTTTGCTGAAGTGAAGAAGATGAAAGTAATGAAATAGACTCTACATTTGCGTAGTTTCAACATGTGTTGTGGTCATAAACTGAGTTTCTTCTCTACTAGTTTTATAATCAAATTCAGTATAACAAATCTGACCCAGATATATTTCTCTAGTCATAGACTACATTTCCGATTTCTTAAACTCTATCACTTTTTTTAAAATTTGAATAATAAGTGTTTAAAATCAAACAATTAATAATATTTGCACCTCTTCTTATTACTATGACATAAATTCATTTCGTCACCCCCGACCAATGCAGTAAATAAGTAGAATAAAGAGCAAGTAAATACCTCACCTGACATAATCGGACTTTCCCTAATAGAATACACATTACTCTTTCACTTGCTGACAAGATTCTTTGAAACAGAATCGGTCTCCATTCAAAATTGAATAAAAAAGAAGTTACTGACGTTATTAATGGAGTTATCAAAATATGCGGGTGGGGACAAGAAACAGTATATTTCCGTGATAGACTGAAAAGATTAATGAATAGCTGCGTAAGATTTGTTATCGGCGCCACGAGGTACTCCCATGTCTCTCACCACTACACTGAGTTAAGGTGGCTCTTCCAACTTTAGAAGACAATATTTCCTAGGTACGTTCCTCTATCAAATCATCAACAACCATCGTCCTTCTTACGCCTACAACCTTCTCCAATTCAAGTCCTCAGTCCATTCCCCTTCAACAAGATCTCGACCTTCTGACCTTTACATCCCTGCGGACAGATCTGCCTCATTTCAGAATTCCTTTATAGCTCGCGCTGTCAATTTCTGGAATTCTCTACCTATCAAAATTCGGCATTCCCCCTCCATATCCACATTCAAATCCCTCCTATTCCAATTCCTATCCCAAAAACAGTCAGATATTTGCTAAACTTACGATATTCTAGTCATCATCAAATGATAATGCTATTCTATACTGTGAACTTCACTAGGGATATTACAATATCTTCCGGCTCTTAATGCCACTGACCACATCTATTTTTTTTGTTTTTGTTTTATTTATTATTATTTTTTATTGGTATTTAATTAAATCGGGACCTATAGCATTTGACAATGATGAGTCTACATATTAATCATTATTTAAAGACACTGATATTGTATATTGTCAGCTTTGTCTTTTCTTTGTTAGCAGAAACACACCTCATTTTAAAGAAGAATTCAATTTATTTTTTATTATTTCATTCTTCAAAAGAGTATTATTATAATTTTTCCTACTGTACATAGTCTTAAGTGTTTTATCATAGTTTTAAGTGTTTTGTATATAGATTTTTATTTATTTATTTTTTTTTTTTTTGTATATAGCTTGGTTAACTAATATTTTCTTTACTTTCTCTTTTTTTATTATTGTTTATTTTGGCCAGATGTAGTATTTTAATTATGTTCTATTTTGTTACTCTAAAGGGACTTTGTCCCAGAATAAAGTTATTTTCTATTCTATTCTATTCTATATCGACAGCCACACTACAAAAGCCTGTAAGGACGATTTCTATGGAAAATGAAGTTTTGAACTTTTTTGGAGAATCTTTTCCTGGCTCATATCCTGATCCCACAAAAAGAAATCTACGATGTTCCATTCCTTCTTTATGGTCTTTTGTAAAAACCTGTAATTTAAAAACCAGCAAATTATGATATAAAAACTGTAAGTTACAGTGAAGGTTATAGAGATTGTGTCTTTACTGAAAAAACGTAATGAAATGCTCAATGAAGTGTGATAATGTAAATACAGAATGTATAAGCCGTTTTGTGTATAGAGTACAGTTTCCATTAGCTTTATTACTAGCTGAAATTTCTCATACTCTTTGTATACGTTTTTTAAAATTTCAAATAAGTGTCGGGCATTTACAGCCCGGCGCCTCTGGGCAAATGCCCGGATTCCCCTGCCCTGAAGCCGGCATTTGCTTAGCATGGAACTAGACGAAGCAATGAAGAAAGTGGTAAGTGGAAATATAATATTAAACGGCCTTTAAAACAATCGAAACATCCTTGACACTGCGGAATGAGCTTGACTGGAGAAAAGTTATGAGTGAGACAGAGAATTGATTTCATTAATTGGAAAATTTAACCCAAGACTAAAAAAGAGCGCATAATCTTGAATCTATGACAATGCATAATCTTCGAAATCGAAAGAAGCACAGAAACGAAGTGATCTACATATCAACAGGTTACAGAGAACTTATCAAGCATTCGTGAATCAAACCATGTCCATATGAAGTTTTCTAAGTTAAAAATGAATCGTTCATAGACTACTCCAAAGTGGGGAGCATACACCCCGTTCGAGCCGCCCCTACAGTGGTAGAAAAAACAGTGAATAACCCGTGTGATCAAATATTTGCATTCCACCTTTTTTTTTTTCTTTTTTTTTATATAAATTTTCATTTGAAGTACCGTTTTTCAAAATTTGGAAACTGACATTGTTCCTGTCATGCTTCGATCATTATTAACAAAGTTATGCGTACTACTAAAATTAATTTGATTGCTTTTACCTAACTAGTCTAGTACCTGTTTTTCAAAGTAACTAAAAACTATAAGTTAAAAGTAATGGCTCTAAAAGATTATTTGGCAGAAATACGATCTCAAAAGTTACATAGAGCATTACATCTTTGTCTTAGGTCTGAAAAAAAATTGAACCAAAAATATAATGCTCATAGAACAAAAATTAAACATTTTTTTTTTTTCGAGTCCTGAAAATTTTTAGTTTATGTTCTTACAGGCTTTTGCAATTAGGCTATAGTCTAGTCAATATACTTATTATAGTATATATTTCTTTCGATTTCAGAGGAGAACCAAACTATTAAAAATACAATATATATTTAAGGTAATTAAAAAGTGCTGTATATACTATGCTAAACATACCTTCTTACTGCGGTATATTAGTAGCTGTATACATTTCTAGCTTAAGTAAACTTTATATTTATAATAATACAGTATTTTGTGGAGGAGCGACCTTTTTTACATCTACTCCTGATGGCTGAAACGTTCTCTTCATTCTTTCTATCGCTGTTTGCAAGATCTTTGCAGATTATCTAGAGGTTTGATTTAATACTAGCTATTATCTCAAAACAGTACATGGTGTTGGTCCCATGAAAAAATTATTGACCTCGTGTATGTTGTCTGATGAGTCCGTGTTCACTTTTTGCACCTCAGATGTTAGAGTTTCAGCCTGAAGGATGTGTAAATATGGGTACTCGCAGTGCAAAGGTGAATCGGTAAAGGTTAGGAGATGCACATTTTCAGGCGACCTCCACATTCTAGAGAGCGACCATTGAAGAACAGTAGTGCGTAAAATTATAGTCAATTAATAGCTTTTATGTTATTATCTTCCTTTTAAAGTTGCGTTCCAATTTGTAGATGCAACTCGTAAATGTCATCACAGGAGCGCCGAGGTTCGCAATATTTAATTAGCATTTTAAACAGAGTACTTCTGTAAACGTTCTTTTGATTGTTGATATTTCATTTAACTAACCCGTGTTTAAATTTCTGAAGGCATTTTATCCTTTCCACTTTTCTGGATTTTTGCATCTTTGAAGACACAATGGCTTAATTCTGTGTTGTTGTTTTTTTTGTTTTTTTTTAAATGACATGTTAGAATCATAATACGGCACGATGGGATAACTTCGGGATACTTTTCAGAGTTTTAAGCTCCATCTATCTTTGTTTTAAAAGTTAAAATGCTGAAAAAATTGTTAATATGTAAGGTCAGTCTTTCTCTTACAAAATATGGCAGAACAATAATTCTAGAAACAAGAATATTTTACTAAATAAATTTAAAATTTGTCATAATCTTACCCTATTGATTGATGTAAAATTGGGACAGTGCCAATTTTATCAGCATTAGAAACATGATTTTGTACCGATGTTACCCCATAATATTGTATAGCCTCATTTTTCAAACAAGGAAAATGAGTGTATACCAATTTTATCCAGTAATAATATATTTAAGAGCACATGAGAACAATAAATTCGTATCAATGGTACTAAAAGATTGCAAATCATAATTTTTTAAACAATTAGGTCTTGAAAATTTACTGAGTAAACAGAAAATGAAACAAACATTATTCAAACACTTCGTACAATTCAATTCTTGTTAACTGAATGCAAAAGATAAACCTACAGGTCTTTCATTTTCAAAATTTCTCGCCGGACGATTTGTCGTTTGAGCAGTGAATTTCATCAAGTAGAAATCAGATTTATTCATGGCCGATATTAATACTTCGGTAATCCGATGTTCGCAGTTCTTGAGGCACAAGCGAAAGTTTCATGGAAACAAGAATTTTGAAGAAAAAAAAACAATGAAAATCAATAAAACCTAACTGCACAATGAGTGTTGTGAGCTTGGGTTCTCAAACTGCCGCAAGGTAGTAGCGCAGTATATGCCTACACAAAGCACGTTTTTGCTGACTAAACCAACACAGTGTATCCACCACGGAATCACCACAAACTAAATTTTACCCGTTTTCCCAACGTAATCCATTCTGTCCCAAAGTCTGTACTCCAAAGTCTGTACTCTGTAGTCCCATCTTACTGCACTCCAAAAAGTCAACTCTCCTTGGAGAAATCTAGAAATATTAGTTACTCTTCCATTATCACCTGTCTTGAAGTGATTATCTCTCATGATCACCTCTCCTAGTGCTAACATCAGTACAGTCGTGCTTTTACTGAAGAATTTGTATCCAAACTACATTAGTTTTTTACTAGTCAAAGGAATTTATGTCAAAATCACAATCCACTATTCCTTGGCCCTCTTGCATAGAGGAACAATGTGATCGAAAGCAAAGTTAGTAATTCTGTTCCATTCTACTGCTTTTTAGAATAGTTTTAGCCGGTTTCGGAGAAGTTTTTCAAATATTAAAAAAAATAAGTGTAATGTGTAGATGCTAAAATTTAATATTCATAAATGGGAAAGGTGTTGTTTTTATAGAGCGAGCGAAGCAGTTAAAAAAAAAACTATAAATAAATATATTTTCATTAAATATATTAAAATAATTAGTTTATTATTATTCATAATTACAAGAAACTGATTCATTCCAAATAATGTTAAGCCAGAGTCGAACCAATAATTCATAGCCACATACGAATTACCTCCGTAATCTGAAAGACTTTCAAATGATAGGAGACATAATATATATATATTGAATATGAAGGTGAAATGGGAAAAAAATTTACAAAGATTCCATTTGGATAATCAACATTTTTAGATTGTTCGATTTTTTACTTATTTTTATCTGAAATCCTATTGAATGTGAAAATATCCTATGAAAATGAAAAAGTAAGCTTACAATTATCTAATATTAGACCAAAATTGATATTTTATGAAAAACAAATTCTACTAGCTTTGCCTATATTACCTATCCACCCATACCCGATCATTCTCCAAGGCAGCAATATAAAAATTAATTAAATGACCGTTTGTATCGGTGCAGCTGATGCATGAATTTACAGCAGTTTAGTGTAAAAAATGAAAAAAAAAAAAAACTTAAGAATACGAATTTCCATTAATGCATTATAGCTATCTCCCACATACTGATGAATACATAGGGTAAGTTGACCAACACAAGATTGGACCGTCGTGGTGGGGAACGGACATATATATTTGGCTCCAAGAGGATTCCTTTCACAAGTTACTTCCAGCCACCGAAACAATGAGGATGCTTTCTGTGAGTACTTTCAAGTGAAGTGGATTTATTTTAAGCCTTTTAGTTTATCCAAAACTTTTTATAAAGTCGAAGAAATCGTAAGATGTAATCTTTATAAATTGATGCGATCGACCATTTTAGATTTTATAAAAATTCTTACCACAATAATCAATAGCACATCTCATTCTCCTTTAAGCAATCGAATTTCAAAATCCCGTTTCGTAAGAAATATATAGTTTCGTATAAAAATATATATATTATTGTTTTATGAAAACTATACATATATATATATATATATATATATATATATATATATATAATATATATATATATATATATATATATATATTTATATATATATATATATATAGAGAGAGAGAGAGAGAGAGAGAATGAATGAGAGAGAGAGAGAGAGAATATTATTTTCTAATTGATTTATTTAATTTTTTCACCACGAGCTCAGTGAATTTCATCCTTAAAATCGGCTGATTTATTATCTCAGAAATACCAAACATGAATGATTTCACGGCTAAACTTACGTTTCAACCCTTTTAAAGACCTCTAGTTTGTCGTAAAACCAAACATTATCATGCCTTGGAAGTATTTAACCTTGGTTCATTCAGAAATAGGAGACCAATCCGCTCTTTCGTTGATCGACACTAGTCTATAGAATCAATTATTCATCGATTTATAGATACGTGACAGCTATTCGTCACAATATCAACAGCAGCATAAAATACTTTTATTTCAAATTAATATAAATAATTCCTAACATATTAAGATATTTTTTTTTAAATTGATTTTGGTTTATTATTTTCAATAATCAGCCTTTGTATTCAACTAAGGAAAATAAAAGTTGTCCCCTTAAAATTTGAGATTTTGCGCCTCAAGGTACGTAAAATCCGAAAATCGAATAAAAACAAATCCGTCTGCCCGAGGTTTTTATCCGAGACTACTGGACCGATTGTTTTGAGATTTCGTATTAATGTAAAATTGGTGGATGAGCCTCGAAACTTGGAATTCCTATCCGCCCTGTACATTAAAAATGACGACAAAACAAAAACAACGTGAAATAAAAATAGTGCAATGTATAATAACGTTTAATGACATTCGTTAAATATTGACGTTAAATATTAAATAATGACATAACGAAAGAAAGCCAGCAATGGTAGTATTTACAAACTAATTTGCCAAACTTCCCTCTCCTCCCAAAAAAAATTAAATCCTGGATCCGCCAGTGCCCATCGGGTCCTTTCAGTTGAGGATGGAGCCTTACCACAAGGGCCGGGCACTTTCGTCAAACACGGCCATTCTTCCGACTTCATTTATTGTGTGATCATGGGACTAGAGCCACCCACGAAAGTGGAGTGACATTAGTGCAGTAGTGGTAAAATTGAAAGTACGGAAAGTGTTTAAAAGGGATAAGGAAGGAAGATTAAAAGCCGGTTAATAAAAAAAAAACTTTATATTGTAATAAGTCAACAACTGAAGCCAGTGTTATTTAAGTGATTAGTTGTTGGTCGTTAATAGAAAATGAACTTACGATCGAATCTGGAATTTCATCTTTAATTTTTTTTTCACTTCATTGGAACCATAAAGTATCCACCATAAAGAACAGTTCACTCCTTACAGTCAATGGACTTGACCAAGGAATAATCCACATGTAAAATAAAAAATAAAACAAGGAAGCGAGTAAAGATAATATAACTAGAAAATTCCACAAAATTAGACAAATCGTTTCAGAACAAACATTTAATTAAATCTACCATTTAATTTAAATTGAGAAGGTAATAGCTTGTTTAACTTGAATATGTTCTATTTCGTAAAATAACTTTTTCGTAAATTAAGTTTTTGAATATTATCAGTCATTTGTTTCTGTTTTTAGGATGGCAATTATTTTATTGAAGTCTGCAATTGAACTTGTGTAAAGCAAGTTTGTCTGTCAGTACCACATCATCGGCTTGCTTTTAATATTGAAGGTGCTTACAAGTTACCCCTTACAAGTTCCGTTTCATCATTTATTCGTTACTAAGGGGTGGATCCGTCTTTTTCTTTTGCGAATTCATAATCAACTATTTCAGAGCCTCTTGCTTTTTTGACATCATTAAAGTGCCAAGATCACCAGGATCTCAGTTCATCCAATAGATAACGTTTCCGACAAAGTTACCTTCTCTAGGAACAGATTCCATCAACCCGAATAATGTATGGAATCTGTCATAATGAGCTTATGGTTTAGTTCATTGAAATGCAGCTAAAATTGCGTAAATATTGTTCAAGATCGTCAACTCTTTCTAAAACAAAGATCATATACCTTCTTGATATTTTTTTCATTAAGACCTTGAATATTAAGTATATATATTATGGGATATAGTAAATTTAAGTATCATTTATATATATTGTATTTTGTAATAAAGAAATTCCTAGGGGGTAGGAAAAAAAAAATTAAGTATGTAGTATATATTGAATATACCGCTAAATTAAATTTATCTTTCCTTTTCCGCGATTACTTATTAAAAACATCTTATTTTTTATGTCGATAATTAACTTGCGGAAAATTTGGAGTTTACTAAATTTTAACGTGAGTAATTTTAAATTTTTTCAAAGTTAACTTATATTTTACAATTGTTTAACTTTCACCTTTATAAGCCCCTCCTCTCCACCCTATTATCGATTCTTGCGATCTACAGTAAAAATAATAAGCTGTATAAAAAAAAAAAAAAAATGCCGTTTTTCAACTAAAAATTTGTATTATTATTTCTTTGATATAAAATACAATTAATACTCAAAGTATAGTCCATTGCTATCTGCCATCATTAGCCATCAGCTAGCCAATTGTTCGATCCCAGGCTGATACCATTCTTTGGGATAGCTGTCAAAGAACTCTTGGACCACAATTTCAACTTCCGCGAAATTAACAATTTTTTTTTTAAGAAAATGGGTAGTACTCCGATGATGCGAAGTCTGGATCATATGGTGGATGAGGCAGGAGTTCGAACCCATGAAGTTCTTTAAACTTTTCTTTGGAAGTATGAGGACGGGCATTATGTTGTTGGAATAAAATGCCTTTTCGGTTGATCAAAGCAGGATAACGCGATAACGCTCTGACAACTTCGCTTAAAATCGGTTCAGTTATTCGCAGTAGAGTTCAGAAATCATAGAGCATCTAGCAGTAACAATTTCGTGATGAATAATACCTTCAACATTAAAAAAAAAAAAACGCAAATCATGGATTTTTTTTTTTTAAATTGCCCCGTGCAGCAACCGGAAAAGCAATTTGACCAGTAATTCATTAAAATTACGAGAATTTCGTGAGACACTGTCATGTTTCTTCTTTGACACAATTAACTAAACTGAGGCTTTTTTGTAACAAGTCCAATGGGATTAAATATGCTTAGACCATGCTCTAAAGGGATTATTAAGTATTAAATAGGATTAAAATATTTACAGTCTTTTGATTTTGATAAAATGGTCATTTTTTTTTCATTCACCTTGCATAGTTTGGATTGTATCCATATTTGAATTAAAATCTCTCCACTTCTACTTGATACCTATGCACTGTGTTATTATTATATTCTTAGGTATTATAAAAAAATAAATTAATTCGTTGGTTGATTTGAAATGATTTTCAAAGTTATGCCACATAAAAGACTGCTAACTGCCACATGATTCATTAGTTTGATAGGAAATGAATCTCAGATAAATTTTATTGGAAATGGCTTCTTAAATGCTTGAGCTAAGTTATTCCTCTTCACAAAACAACCCATAATGTTTCAATTATTATTTATCATTGAAACAAAGAAATATTTTTGTTTAATTCAAAAATGTTTTGCTGACTTTATATCAAGTCAGTAATTTCTAGTGGATCTCAGTAATTTCTAGTTGATTCTGTCTTAAACCTAACTCCTGAGGCCGAAATGATTCATGTAATAATTTTTATTTTTTTTATTTGATGGCAGTTCTTTTTGATCTTCCTCATTGCATTATGCAAAGGAGCTCCACAACAACCATATAACCCACCAGTGCCTATTGTTGCGCAGTCACAAGACGGACCAAATCCAGATGGCTCCTATCAATCTAGGTAGATACATACAAATTTAATTGAATAAAATAAAAATCAATTATAATTCACATTTTTTAAACTAATAATAAATTTAACCTAAACCTATTCTTCAGTTACCAAACAGGAGATGGAATTTCAGCTCAGGAAAGAGGTTATCTCAAAAACCCTGGGACTGAAGGAGAATCTCAAGTTGCAGAAGGAGGTTATTCTTACACTGCCCCTGATGGCCAAGTGATCTCAGTTCAATACTTAGCAGATGATGGTGGATTCCAGCCACAAGGAGCTCATTTCCCAACACCACCACCAATTCCTCCAGAGATCCTGAAGGTACTTGAAATCATCAGATCACAACCACAGCAAGACTATGATGAAAGGGGATTCCCTATTGGTGCTCCAAGGCAAGGATAGAACAAACCAATACAAATATACATCTTAAATATTTCTGTACATAAACATTAGAATATACATGATTTTTTTTTTTTTACATTAGTATGCTTTCATCTTCCCTTTAATATGTATCATAATATATATATTCCAAATATTACATATATTGGAAATATAAATTATTAAAAAATAATTCAATAACTTTTAGTATAAATAACACATGATCCATCATAAAAGGTTAATAATATCTTTGGAATTTGTTGCTGTTAAGACTTCGGCTGATACAGCTGCAAGAAAACTGAATCCACAGTTTTAAGCCTTATCCATCATTACTTAAGATCTCTCTTATTTTCTTTACATTTTATATAAAATCATTTCATCTCTTTTTTAATAATCAGATATATTTTATTTCTTCTTCACAATCTTGTTAATAGATCAAAACAAAAACTAAAAAAACTGTAATTTTTAATTATAAATGGAAAAATCCAAACTACAAAGCCACAAGTCTCCAAACATACAGGTGAATAATTAACATGCCAACGTATCACCAATTCAGGCATCATCAGAGCAATAAACCAAGACGACTTATATGCAAAAAAAAAAAAAAAAAGAAAAAAAGAAAGCAAAAAAACAATTGTTGCAATATACATCTCAGGAAGCCAACCAAATACATACTGAAGTAAAATGAAGGTTCTATTAACACAATAAAGGAAGCTTATATTTAACAGCTGATTAGCAGGAATACAATTAATAAAAGAATAAAAAAATATGTATACATAACAAAAACTGGGTATTTCTGCCCTGATGATGTCTGGGTTGGCGAACATTGGCAACTTAACTATTCAACTGTATGTTTGGAAATTCATGGCCTTGTATCTACTGAGGTTTGTTGGGAATGGATGTTATATATACCTTCGAGTTTTTTCTTTTGAATTTATTAATTTGTAAAATTTAACATATTCTGTTTTATAAAATTTAGTTATGAATACATTTTTTTCTTTTCTTCATTTTATTCCTGCTAATCAGCTGTTGAATATAAGCTTCCTTAGCTGTGGTGATAGAACCTTCTATTTCCTTTTTTTTTTTTTTCTTTTTTTCTTTCTACATATAAGTGATCTTGGTTTTACTGTTCTGAAATTGCCTGAATTGGTGAAAACCTTGGCAAGTTAACTATTCGCCTATATGTTTGAAGACATGGCTCTGTTGTTTGGATTTTTTTTTCATTTTTAAGGTAATTAACATTTTTTTAAATGTATTTTTACCTTTATGCTTATTTTTTACTAATTTAAAATATTTTATTTCTACTTGTAGGTTTCAGAAATACCTTTTATCCCTCTACAAGATCTGAGATTAAAAAAAAAAAAACATCAAAATAATTATTCCCATTTTTATTGTTTTATTTTAAATGATTCCTATTCAAAAGATTTTAAACAACAAAATATACATACCTAATATACCTCATCATTGGGAAAGGCTAAGGATAAGTTTGATCAACAATTAAATATTCTCTTTACTAAAAAAATCAAAGTATAAAGATATGAGTGGGAAGGTCATGAATATGAAATAATAAATTAATATTTCAAACATCTTCTTTTTTTTTCTACACTTAAATTTAACGGATATAGGAGTCTCTTGAACCTCCCAATCAGTCTAGCCCTAAAAGAATAAAAGAAAATGGATTTGGGTAAACATAAATTTTCACCTAACACAGTTATCCCACAATGGGCAGAAAATATGCCTTCATATTTAATTGTTAAGAGGTTTGATGAAGAACAGGTTTTAAAAAATCTCATCATTTTTATCTAGAAGTTAATTACAAACTTAGTGAAAAATTGATAGTATATAAATTGAGAGATATTAAAATGGCCAGACTCTGTTATTGAGCAAGCACGGATTCTTTTTGGAAATTACTGAAATAGACAAAACCAGCCGGCAGAGGCTTTTAAAGCAGGTATGTAGGTATGTATCAGTAAAATTCCTATGCCTAGCAAAAACTGATCAAGCTACACTGGACAAGTACACAAAGCAAAAAAGATAATAAGAACAGCAAAAAGAGAATTCCTCAAAGAAAGATTGCAAATTACTGAGGGAAACTGGTAGATTGGAAATATATGTGAATTCATCAAGCACGTAAGGAAAGAAAGGGTAGGATATAAAGCAAAAAATATGCCTGTGAGAAAACATGGCAAATTGACAGCATCAAAAAAAAAAAAAAAAAGATCCTAAGCATGTGGAAAGAACATTTCCAACAGATATTCAATCAAATTTAGCCCACAAACACAGAAATCATGGACCAAATTGAAGACCTCGATCCATTTAAGGTTGAAAAACTGGATATGTAATTAGCTATAGGCAGGCTTAAAAGAAGAAAGGCTCTAGGGATCGACTACTTACTATCAGAACTGTTTAAAGATGGGAAAGAACACCTTAAACTCAAGCTATTAGAACTAATCAAGGGGGAACTGATACCAGAGGTCTGAAACACAGGGTTGATTAGTCGTGTCCTCAAGAAGGGCTCCATGTATGAATGTAATAATTACAGAGGCATAGCACTTATTCCCGTTGCCTAAGATATGATTCTGATAAATCCGATATACCTATATTACCAACAAACAATAGATGATAATAAAGCAGGATTCAGGAGAGGAAGAAGAGTGCCAGACCAGACCTTTATCCTAAAACAGGTACTCAAATGATGGGATCAGGATGTATAAGTCTTATTTGTCAACTTCAAAGCAGCATATGATTCTGTGGATAGAAACTGTTTTTGAAAGATCATGACTGAGCTGGATGTTCTTGGGAAGTTAATGAGATTAATGAAGTCATATACAACTACATCCTAAATGCGGAGTACTGAAACACAGAGAAGTACCTAAAGCCTTTGAAGTTCAAATAGGTTTGAGCCTGGGAGATGGACTCTCACTGATGCTTTTCTTAGCTATGCCCTGGAGAAAGTGATCTGAACAATATCATGTGAAGATGCAGGGATGCACATCAGAATGAAATATAAAATTCTAGCATACATACATGATATAACTTTCCCTGAAAGCAAATTTCATTTCTTTAAGTAGCTCTTTATTGGTCTTTCTTCTCCATGTGTTAATACTCTGATCCAAGAACATTCCAGTGATCATGTAAAGGATTTTTCTCTCTTTTGATAATTTTTTTTAGGGCACTGGTTAGTGTCCAGGTCTTGCAACTGTATCTCATGAACTGGCTTTATCATAGCATTGTACACTCTTAATTTGAGATTTTTCGGGATTTATTTATCTTTGAAAGAGACAAGAAAGCTCTGTTTGTGCTTGTTATATACTGGTCTAATTCCAACTAGTGATCATTCATTGAGTCTATTATGGAACCGAGGTATTTGAATTTTTCCACATATGAATTTATTACATATATTGGATCTAAAATATACTATGATTTTTGTTTAAATTGAAATTAGTTTATGAATAATTTATCAAATTAATCATAATTCTTCTCATATCTCTCGTTTTTATTATTTTCAAATTTTTATTGTATTACATATGCATGCTCTATTTGATTATTGTTTATAGTCTTACAATATTATTTATAGTTTCACAATTTTTACTCTTACTATTCACAATGTTACTCTTTATTAATATTTTAATTATTGTTGTTTTTTAATAAATATTAAATGAGTAGGATTATGTGAAAGAACCAACAACAAAATAAATACAAGCATTTGAAATTTATTATAAAATATAATATATGAAATAATGTTGGTTAAAATAATAATAGTTGCAATAAAAAAACATATATAGTGTATTTATACTTAAAATTCCAAATAATTTTTTTGATTGTTGGATTTCTCTGCACTTTCAATTTCTTTATCACATTCAAAGCCCATATATGTGTTTTAACTGCTTACAAGAAAACTTTTAACATGTTCAGCATGTTATTGTTGCACTTTTTTTTTTTTTTTTTAGCCAACATTGTGACATGTAACTCTTTTTTTGTAGTGGTTCCAAAGTTTGAGGTTCTGAAGATAAATGTAGTCGAAGGTAATGAAGGAATTTTAGATCTCAGATTCAGCTGAGATTTCATGAGATCCATGGCTAATGCTTTTATAAATATTCCACGCTTTTGATCACGTATATTTTACTCGATCTGTGTAAAACATGGGAATGATTCCTCTAATGTGTAACATTTTATAAAAGACAAACACTGGTCAATGTTTTTTTTGTAGTGTCTACACCTCCCTTCATCTGATTATAATAAAAAATGAATATCAACGAGACTAATGTTAATAACAATAACTTGTGCTATTTTTATAATAATAACAATATATAAAATAATAACAATAATATAAAATAGTAATTATATTTTGTATTTCAGCAACAGAATGAAATCAGGTTGATACCAGGTACACTGTTCCAGTATTCAAGAGTCCCTGGAAATCCAGGTGACAACTGATTTTGCAAACATTTACCAAGACCAACTTGATGATGGTGTAGTAGAGGGCATTTGTGAGGAATACCTGTGAGCTGAAGGCTCAAGTGTACCTGAAAGAAAGAAACCTTTGATCCAATATTCTTGTTGATGAAGGTCCTATGAGTAAACTAATCTATGTTTTCTTCATATATCATAACAATAGGAATAGCCTTTAGTACTACAGTCCAAGGAGTTGTTAACTATTTAAACAGAGAGCATAGCACTCCAATTCCTTGGTCTTGTGTGAGACCAAACCATTGCCCCTATTGCCAAAAAGGCAATAGGGAAAGCTCCTCACTCAGCCAAACAACATTATGACATATAGCAGATCAGGAGCAAGATTTGAATGCAATTTTTTTAAATTACAAACCAAATACTTTTTTTATTTTATATTTTAAGAAATAAAATACAATATATATCGCCCATAACTTGATTTTCTTTTATAAAGGGAAGGAGATGGTCCGGGGTGGCGGTCATAAATATGCTAAATAGTGGTAATAATATTTTATTAAAAGCCAACGTTTCGACTCTACTTTGCAGGTCTTCTCCAGGGAGGTGTGTTCAACTAGGAGTTTCACTTAAAACTCAATTTTATGTATATATATTTTTTCGATTTTATTTTATATTTTAAATGCTCAAAGTAAATCATCAAATGATGAACA